CACATGTTGGAGAGAATGTGGAGAAAAGGGAACCCTCTTGCACTGTTGGTAGGATTGCAAATTGGTACAGCTACTATGGAAAACAGTATGGAGGTTCCTCAAAAAACTAAGAATTGATCTACCATATGATCCAGCAATCCCTCTACTGGGTATTTACCCCAAAGACTTGAAAACCCATATCCGAAAAGATATTTGCACACCGATGCTCATAGCAGCATTATTCACAGTGGTTAGGACATGGAAGTAACCGAAGTGTCCTACGACAGATGACTGGCTAAAGAAGCTGTGGTACATATATACAATGGAATATTAACCATAAGAAGAGATGAAATACTGCCATTTGCGACAACATGGATGGTCCTCGAGATAATGATGCTAAGCAAAATAAACCAGACAGAAAAAGTTGAAAATCACATGATATCACTTATATGTGGGATATAAACCTAAAATCAACAAATGAGCAGGACTAACAAATAGAGACTCATGGACTTGGACTAGTGGTTACCAGAGGATTATAGACTAGTGGTTACTAGTGGGGTGCAGGAGGAGTGGGGAGGTAGATGGGATAAAGGAGGTCAAATATAGGGTTTAGGGGGAGCATGAAGTGGGTAAAGGGGATCAAATATGTGGGAGCTGAAGGAAACTGGACTTTGGGTGGTAAACACACAATAGAATATACAGATGTCAAATGATATTGTACACCTGAAAATTATATTATTGTATTAACCAATGTTACCCCAATAAACTTATTTAAAAATAAAAAATAAAATACTGCATTATAACTTAGAGTAATATTTTCGGTCCCTATTCTGGAGAGAGAGGTAAAGGCCTCTATAGTCCAATTCAAATAAAATAATATAGCTAATAAAGCCAATGTTGATTTTTCATTGAATTTTGAATTAAATATACTTATAATGTGATGTTTTGTCAATCTATTAAAACATGAGGTTCCTAGGCACTGTAAAAGACAATCAATTTGAAACCATTTACATTTCCATGAAAGACACACTAAACATCAAAATCAGGCTCTTAACCACCTTGCCCAACAATATTTGCCTTCTCTACTATTTTACTAGTAAATACATATGCAACTATTTTGCTTTGGGCTAGATTATATAAATAAGCCTGACCTACTTAATGTTAAATAAAAGATATTCAGACTGATTTAAAATTGCTCTCTCTCTAAAGCAATAAGAGGAGAGTCCTTTCCCTAGGCCTTGCTGACTTCTCAAAGATAGTTTGAGTTGTTACAAGACATGTTATGTGAAACTATGAGGTGTGTACTTTTGATAAATGACAAATATAGTCAAGAAAGATCAATCGATAAGTTTTTTATAAAAAAAGTTTTTTTTAAATTTATTTTATTAGTTTCAAGTATGCAGTACATTGATCAGACATTTATATAGTTTATAAAACAATCCTCCTATTTGCTCCTTCTCTCCTCTGGTATTCCACCTACCCAATATATATTAATGCTAACTGCATTCCCTATGCTGTGGTCCCCATCCCCATGACCATTTATCAACTGCTAATTTGTACTTCTTTAACCCTTCACACCATTCTCCCAGCCCCCCAAACCCCCTTCTTCCTGTCCGTCACCAAATTGTCCTCTATATTTGTGATTCTCTTTTGATTAGTTTGTTTTTTTTTGTTCCTTAGATTCTGCATACAAGTGAACAGATACGTCTTCAATGAAGAAATACAGATAGACAATAGACATATGAAAAGATGCTCAAGGTCACTCATCATCAGAGAAATGCAAATTAAAACAATGATGAGATATCACCTCACACCTGTCAGAATGGCTATTATCAATAAATCAAAAAACAACACGTGTTGGCGAGGATACGGAGAAAAGGGAACCCTCATATATTGTTGGTGGGATTGCAAATTGGTACAGCTGCTATGGAAAAAAGTATGGAGGTTCCTCAAAAAATCTATGCACCCCAATATTCATGGCAGCACAATTTACAATATCCAAGATATGGAAGCAATCTAAATGCCCATCAAAAGACGACTGGATAAAGAAGTTACAGTTCATATATACAATGGAATATTACTCAGCCATTAAAAAAATGAAATTCTACCATTTGCAACAACATGGACGGACCTAGAGGTTATTATGCGGAGTGAAATAAGTCAGAGAAAGTACCATATGATTTCACTTATATGAATCTAAAGTATGAGTTCTTAAAAAAGGATAAAGTCTTTAATTCTCACTTCCACTTTATGATAACTTATAGAATATACTTTCTTTGCTTTTAGCCTTTAAAAAAATAAACTGAAGTATGAATAGGAAAGGTACTATGAATTCTATTTGAAATAATGAACCACATAAAATACAAGCCTTTTTTTTCCAAAATGATTTGGTTGCTATATAATTACCTCTGTGCTAATATCATGATATTGAGTTGAAGCTGCCCCGCACTTGAGCCTGAGTTTTGCCACCAGTTGTTCAAAGTCTTTAACTTCACTGAAGCGAAAAGCTGTTTTTCCTTTGATGCTAATGATGATAGATTTGCTAGAATCATTTGTCTTATCTATAGCTAAGACCTGAGGGGTAAAAACATATAAATGAATCACATTTCTCCTTGTTGCTGACACCTTTAGGCAAAATGTTTAGCTTACTCTTTCGTAAATAAAAGTTTAGGTATGTGGTATAACTAACTAATGAAGAAAGAGACTTTGGGTTCCAGTTGTATCACTGATACAAGTAACCTCAGTGCAAGTCACTTCACTTCTCAAGGAAAAGGTTTGACTAACATGTAGCCTTTAAAATTGACAATACAAATGTAAAAATTCAGTGCTACTATGCTGACAATTTATTTCTGACTTACACAAAAGCTATCGATTCTATTCTTTTTGACAGTGTATATTGTCTAAGTTTTGGTATTCATGTCATAAATGTCTTGAGTGATCACATTCCATTTTGAGTCATACTAAACCCTCAGCTTGTTTCGAAATTTTTTATTTTTTCTATTTTCTATTTTTACTTTCAACAAGAGCTATAAGGCTCTTATCCTAATATTCGTATACTGAAAAATGTTACTCTTATTCTGAAGAATGATGCTGAACTTAAAAAAATGATCATTTAAAAATTACTAAAAGGATATTGAGTTTTTAATAATTTACAGAATTAAAGGACATTTAACCTGTGAGTAACATTTTCAAACAAAAAAAAAAATGATATGTAACCAAATTTACATTACCTCTCGAAATGGAATGATTACATTACATAGATTGCCATCCTGGCTAGTAAAGCAGATATAGTTTTCTGAAATGCACATTTTGCCATGAGCATTGAAGCGGCTGAATGGTACCCATAAGGAACATTCATGTACTTCTTTCAAAGTTTCTTCTTTGGGCAGCCTAAAAAATGCATTAAACTGCTCACTGTGGGCTCGATCTTCCAGACCTCTGTATAAAAGAAAAAGAATGGGGTGGCTTAAATAATGCCTTCTAAAGTGTATACATGCCTATGTTGATTAATCTAAATGCACTGTAAAGCAGAAAGATTAAACACTACATGCTATGTTCTTCCACAAATTATGAAATGGAAGGAACATACTGATTCCTCACAAATTCATTTTGTTTGCTCTCTTTTCCAATTTTGTTTTAATAGTGGGTTACAATGCACAAAAGCGAGAGATGATGTAGGTCTTCAAACCATCTGTTAAGGGGTGATTTGCTGGAAGATTATATTATTATATAGTCATAATATGTGAATATGGCTAAAACCAATCTTGGCAGGCAATAATTATATATCTGGTTATCAGAAAATCAAGAAAGTTAACCAGTTCAAACAAAATAAAATAATGAAAATTTATGGCATCACAATTGTATAGGAATAATAGTGCAGAAAATCATATTAAAACTAAGTGAAGCAAAATTTAAATATTAAAAAAATCCAAAGTAGAGGCAAGATAAAATAACATCGCTTGCATGAGCACAGGATAGGTGTCAATAAACACAGATACCGTGTTAAGTGACACATAAATATATAAATAAAAAAACAAATGCTTAGAATAGTACGATTTTTCTAGAGGCACCAAACACTTGAGCTAAGCAGCAATGCCATCTGAGGTAGTAAGTAAATTATGCATGTTTGAACTCAAAGCCAACCAAGTTAAAACTAAATTCATCTTTCAGTATATACTACTTATGAGGCACATCATGTCTTTCAAAATAATTCTGATAAATATGAACAAAAAAACACATTAATTTCTATCCCACTTAAATTGTAATGTGGTGGGTTATTTCACTTCATTATTATTTAAAGGCTGGATTCTATATCAATGAAAAGATGTCCATGATACGTTATTTTAAGTGGGAAAAAAAGCAAATTGTAGAAGATGTGATGTTTAGTCTAATTTATGTTTTTTGCAATTATTTTTTAATTCATGCATTAAAAAGCCTAGAAAGATACACACTGAATTTAACTATTGTTATTATGTTTTTATATTGTTTAAGTTATAGAAATAACACATATTTGTAAAAACAATAGGTTGAAGCAATAAAGAGATTTCATTTTAGGAAAAAGTTATCTGGAGACTAAGTCTAAATAAGCCTTTGTTCTTTTTAACTTACTAGAAAAAAGGATTTAGAAATATATGATTTTCAATAAACTTTCTTAAAAATACACAGACAAAAATTGATTTCCTATATCTAATTTAAATATGGACTTGGTAATGAATAATTCATTGCTAGATGGCCTTTTAAGGGAGGATATTTTAAAAGAAATAAAATGGCTAAAAGATTTGTTTATGGTTCTGATTAAGAAACAAACTACGCAAAGAAAAACCAAAACAATAACTCATAGAGATCTGTGCACCCCAATATTCATGGCAGCACAATTTACAATAGCTAAGATATGGAAGCAATCTAAATGCCCATCAACAGACAATTGGATAAAGAAGTTATGATTCATATATACAATGAAATATTATTCAGCCATTAAAAAAATGAAATCCTACCATTTGCAATGACATGGATGGACCTAAAGGTTATTATGCTGAGTGAAATAAGTCAGACAGAGAAAGATAAATACCATATGATTTCACTTACATGTGGAGCCTAAGGAACAAAAAGAACAAATTAATCAAAAACAGACTCGCAGATATAGAGGATAATCTGGTGATGGCCAAAGGGGAGGAGGGATGTGGGGCCTGAGAGAAAGGGGTGAAGGATTAAAAAAGTATAAATTAGTAGTTGATAGATTATTGGCTAGGTGGAGAGCCAGAGGAAAGAAAGAACAATAAACTATATAGATGTCTAACCAATGTACTGTATACTTGAAACTAATAAAAAAAACTACAAAAACAAATGCCCAATTATAACATAAACAAGATAGAGTTCTATTTATAAATCTTGCACACTGAGACCTAATATTGGCAATAAGGTGTAAAAAATGCACCTTGTTGATCTATTTTCCAGAAAAGCAGCAGGCTTACAAAGGAATCCTTATGGATATAGAGTTTGAGAATGGTTTAAGAATAGGCAAGAGGAATGATTGTACCTAGTTAGGACTATATAGTAATCACACAACCTTCCAGGTCACTTGTTCTGGTCTATACATAGGATTGTGACTTAGGTTCCTCTTACACTTTCCCATATAGTCTCTACCTTCATCCTCTTTGTCAGAAGCTGCTTCCACTAGCTATTTCTGGATCCTACCCTCTCTTCCTCCTTCCCTTTGGCATGCTCATTTCAGTCAACTTTTTTGCATGTTGAGCAGAATAAAAGGGAGCTCACTAGTCAGTTTCAGCAAATCAAGTATAGTGGCAAATAGCTATCAGACAAATACTTCTGATGCAGGCACTAATAATGACTAACATTTATCTATGGCTTTATATTTTACAATGTGCTTTCACACATTATATTGCTCATTCCTTACAAGTGCTCACTAAGGTAGAAATGGCAGATGAGAAAACAGAGGTCCTGAGAGATTATGACTTCTCCAAAGGTTGCTCTACTCTCATTCTAAAGTCCATGGCTCCACTGACTCCATTAACTTACCTCTTAAAAACAATAACAACAACAAAAACGATGCTCTTTATAAATTATGTTTGAAAATAATACATTTAACTATTTCAGACCCGAAACTATCTTGACTACTCAGAGAAATTTATAGTTAGAGTAACCAGGCACACATAAATCTCTACGTTTCTAAAAGCACTCTAAGGCAAACCCTACAGGGATCTCAGGAAATAGTTTTCAAACCTAACTTCTACTGATTCTTAGAATTAAATTTCATGGAGAGGATACTATTTTTGAAATGCATATGAATAAACTAAAACACATACATTAATAATTAACTCTAAAGAAAAATTATAATATAGAACAGTTAACTTTTAATGCTAATCAATACTACCGTTCCTTGGTCAAATAATTCTTTAAAAGGTGAATATTAACTAAGCTTTGAATACCTTTTGGTGATTTGTAGAGGATCATCAAGGACTGGGTCATCATCAAATGTTTCCTTGTCAAAAAGTCTCTTTATAGCATAGTTTGCCAGCTGTTCCATAAGAAGGTATGTTTGGTCAATATGCAAAAACATTGAAAAGTAGTGACTCTCCCCTTGGGAACACACATGAATACTCTCTGTCAGTATGACATTTGAAATCTTTTCAAGTTTTGAGACTGCATCCCAGGAGATAATGAGTTTTACTGCAAATAAGAGTTACAAGCAGATATGGTTACATTTCTTAATATTGATTAATGTTTATCAATCAGGTCTTTCAAAACAATAACTACTTGAAAAACTCTATGAACAACTAAAATACTTCAGTTCAAATATTTTGAATTATAATTTTGAATCATAATCATGAACATACAATAATTGTAATTCTAGGAATAGATATAAAAATGTAAAAAAATTCTGATTTGATATTTAAATCTGTTACTTAACATAATTACATAATCACTGATGTAAAAGCTATATGTGTGCTATGAACAGTACTGTTTGATTCTTCTTTGTAGCTGTGGGATATTAAGTACTATGGCTACTATATTTCTATTATGTTTAAAACAAGGATTAAAATATGGATTAAAGAAGGTAGATAGTTTAGAACAAGGGGAAATGGAATTATACTTTACACATTGCCATCATCATTTAATAATCTTTGCTTCCCACAATATGCAAGGCATTCTAACATACTTCTAATGGTGCCTATGTTAAGCAACCAGCCTTGAAAGGATTATTTCTCCAGATGAAGTAAAATTTTAATGTACGATTTAATTACCCCTAATATCAATTCTATTACTAACACCACCACAGAGTTGATAGGTCAGCCGGCAAGTTCAAAGTCATAAGCAATAGAAACGACTTACTTTCTGATCCTAACAAAAAAGAATAGAAGCTCAGAAAGTTGGTGCTAAGATAGAGCCAACCCTGACAAGGAACCCGTCCTTTCCAATAACTGCATGAGTAATAGGTCACTAACTTCTCCTGCTCTGGTAAACCAAAACATTTTTCAAATTTCAAAAGGGCTTCACGAAATTTCTCAGGATCATCTTCTTTTGCAAAAGAATGTTTTCCTTCTTCAGCAATTAATCCCTAAGGGAGACAAAATATTTTCTGAAAATTAATCATTACCAACAAAAAAATATTTCACATATTTAAACAGTTAATTCAATACAACTGTGTATATCTAAACAGGTACATGTATCGTAGTTATATATGTGTGCATATTATGCACTTAGGGCAGAGGTAAGCATATTTTCTTTAATTTTGTCATTAGGCTTTTTCTAATGCCTCACAAAGAGCTACCATAAACACACATGCTAAATACTGTTTTGATTGAGTTAAGGGTTACTCAAACTCCAAACTCAAGAGATTAAAATGAAGATATCCCTAAGAAATTCACAAGGGCACCAAAGACTAACCACTGACTTTACAATTTTCTTTAGCACTGACTCTGACATTCATATGTATGCTTCGGTCAATCCTAAAAGGTGCCAATGAAACAATGACCTTTCATGTAGCCTTTGATCCTCAAATAAGGGAGAAAAATTTTGGTACTCCACCTACAAATTATATCCAGGCCACTTACTCTTATTTTTCCTTGTACAAAATTAGTAATATCTTCATTTGAATCAAACACAGGTAAGGTCTTCACGATATTTTGTTCCAACCAATCCCAATGTTTCATTATTTCTTCTCTGTTGGCTCCTGATTAATAATGAAAGAGAATAAAAGACTCAAGAAAAATTCCACAATAAAACTGCTTATTTTAAAAGGAAATACAATTATATATGCTCCTTTTCAAAAATGATGACCATAAAAAATAAAGGTATTATATTTATACTCTACTTCATCCCTATTTGTGGGCATGAACACTATTTTTCATTATAAATAAGAAGAATATAATATTTAATAAAATGAGAGAAAAGTAAATACAATTCATGAGAAATACAAAATTCTGAAAACAAGATGCCAGTACCTGGTGCTTACAATAACCAGTACCTTTTAAGAAAATATATGGAGTACCAGAACATAAATACACATAATTTAATCCCTGGTCTTCAAATAACAGTACTGTGGGACTAAAAATAATCTGTGTGACTGAAAACAGCATGCCTGTGACAATCCTATGCACAGTGTATAAACGTGGATATCAACTGTGGACATTCACTCTACTTATGTCAGAAGGTATGAAGCCTTTGCTCAGAGTCGCCCTTAAATTAAAAGGCCTAGTCACTTAAAAGAAATTTCACAAAAGAGGTTAAAAACCCTGTAGCAAGGTTAAATCCATGTTACCTGCTGAATCAGGATTAGGCCGTTTACTGAGGATCAGATTAAATAAATTAGCTCTAGGTTGCTTTGGCTTGAACATTTCAGTATCTATCAATCTCCCCATATAATTCACATACCTTTAAGATCTCCCCAGAAATGGGAATTACACAAATCTTGATCAAAAGAAATATCTTGACTTCTTAGTATGTTTTATGTCATATGGAGAGTGACACATCAAAACATTTACTGTAACTGCAAACTTGCCTATTTCCTACAAATTCAGTTAGAATCATATTCATGTTATTAAAGTCACCATACCAAGTATAATAACTTTCTTTAATAAACCACAAATGAAAGCCATGAGAGAGGACACAGAGATTGGGTTTAGTGTTGGCAGATCACGGGGTGCCCATGGCAGAGTGCAGCTGGGGAGTGGCGCACTGCTGGTGGGGCTCTGCCTACCTCCCTGGCCTGGCTCTCTACACCACGGGTACCCTGAAAGCCCAGCCTGGGAATGCAGCATCAGCAGCCATGGTCGCCTGGAACACCGGCAGGAACGCTATCACAGTGGCGGGCTTTCCAATGGAAACCACAGCCTCTGGGTGTCTGGGACGAAGCCTGGCCCAGCCTTGCCAGGGGACAGCAGGGCACAGCGCTTGCTCTGACACCCAGCCAGGATGCCTGCTCTCACCCCTGGGAGAGCAAACCGGATGGCCTGTGCTCCCACATCCCAACATCGTCATCAAGGCTGGCACAAAACAGAAAAGAGAACGGAAAAAAACAAAAAAAACAAAACAAACAAACAAAAAAAACAGTCTCATTCAGTAGCATGCCAACAGAGATCAGCAGCACAAGCAATTGTATCAATTCAATGGACGAGGGTTCAGAACTCAAAAATGTTTGCTCCAACCCTAGAATTTACCATAGGTACTTTTTAAAATAAATTAATTGATTTTTATGGTGACGTTGGTTAACAAAATCCAATAAGTTTCAGCTGTACACTTTAACAGTAAGGAATATATGTATATTTACACTGTGTGTTCACCTCCCATACCATAGATGTTTTTTAATGGATGATGACATGCAGGACCTGAGGTGGGAACCATCTAGGGAGGATTCTGAGAAAACCAAGATTGATATTAAATCCATCAAGGAATTGAGAACAGGAAAAAATACATATTCCGTGGCAATGGCATTTCCAACCAGATATCTGAAGATCGTGAGTTTTAGGTCATATATGGAATTATTAGTCACTTGATTTGGTTGCCAAATCTGCAGATGTTGGGAACATCTGGGTCACGAGACTGTGATACCTATTTTTTTTATGGAAAGCATACACTTGATATGTTAGAAAGTAGCCAAGACAATATGAGGACTTCTTGGGTTTCACAAATGTTTAGTGAAATTGATAGGTACATAACCTTGGACACGTAACTCCATGTAATGCAATGCACTGCATCAGAAACCTCAATCCTGGTTTAAAAACAAGTAAAATTAAATTTAAGTTCAAAGAATTGCACAAATCCAAGGACAAAGCTGATACTGCAGTCACAAAGAATCCGTTGAGGTTTTTTTAAGAGCTTTGTACTACACCTGAAATCTATTTCCTTTTAGTTCAGTTTTCAAGCAATAAAGAATTCCTTGATACCAAGGACCTTATAATGTTTCTTGAGGCAGAGCAGGATTTGGCACATGTAAATGAGGAAATAAGCCTTGAAATGATTCACAAATATGAGCCATCCAAAGAGGGCCTGGAAAAGAGCTGGCTCTCTACAGATGGGTTCACTAATTACCTATGTCACCTGACTGTTATGTAGCAGATCTGGAATATAAGGTCTGTCATGATATAAAGCAAACTTCGTCTCATTAACTTTATAAACTCATTTCATAACATGTATTTAATAGAGGATCAGTTCCAAGGACCCGCTGATATCATAAGATACATTCTTTTTTTTTTTTTTTAACACTCGAGTTCTTAAAATAGGTTGCTGGAGTGTTGAATCAGATGTATAGAATGGACCAGACAATGAACATGTCATTTACATGGGCCACACCATGACCTCTCAGATAGTTTCCACAATGTCATTGATATTACTAACAAGTATGCATTCTTTGCTTCTGAGTTTCCACTTATCTTGTGTTTAGAAAACTGAGGTTCTATTAAACAACAGAAGATAATGGTTCAACACATGAAGAAAATTTTAGGAGATAATCTCTATACAACATCACCCAATGCTGAAGAATCTTACCTCCCATCCTCAGATGTCATAAAAGAGAAGATACAAATTAAAGCAAACAAGCTGTCCTCAAATTGCTCTGGAGTAGAAGGAGATGCTACTGATCAAGATGAAGGAGCAGAAATTTCTCAGAAGATGGGAAAAGAGAACATGGAGCAATCCAACAATGTACCTGTGACGCAATTTCAGCTCTACAAAGAACTGTCTGAACTGGTAAGCATCTGTAAGTCAATTAAGTTCAAAGAATTTCAGATGTCCTTTCAGGTTAAGAAATACAGAGGAATTGCTGGAAAAACATGGCAACTGTGAGACTTCCTCAGATCTCTCCCCTTGAAACAACAATAAGCTAAATATCTAAAACTCAACAAAAAACACCCAAAGTGCACACCAGCACATCTGAACGTGGGGTCTGCGCATAAGAGCTACCACAGGTTGGAACCTCGGGTTTTGGGCAGTGGACTGGGAGAAATAAAGAAGTTGCCTCTCACGGCCTCAGGAGCTCCCTGTAGAAGGAGGATGAGGCGGGAAGATGCAGTGACTTCCCTGAACAGCCCTGCCTGGAAGTGCTATGAGTTCCATGCAGCCTGTGGCAGGGCCCAGTCATCAGGACAGAAAGCAGAGAAGCGGGACGGGACAGCAGAGAAACAACAGTTGATTTTTACCGGCCGAGGTTGCAAAACTGAGGCTGAGGTGCAGCATCCAACTTCCAACCCAGAGGGCCCATCCCTCTATACCCTCCAAGACCAATCACCGTGGAGCCAAACTGTCCTACGATAGATGATTAGCTAAAGAAGCTGTGGTACTTATATACAATGGAATATTACTCAGCCATAAGAAGAGATGAAATACTGTCATTTGCGACAACGTAGACAGACCTCTAGATAATCATGCTAAACAAAATAAGCCAGACAGAAAAAGTTGAACATCACATGATATCACTTATCATGGGATATAAACCTAAAAGCAACAAATGAACAGGACAAATAGAGATTCAGGGACATGGACAATGGACTAGTGGTTACCAGAGGGTAAGAGGTGGGGGAGGAGGGAAGTGGTAGACAAAGTACAGGGGTTCAAATATAGGGGCGGAAAGGGAGTGTGAAGTGGGTAAAGGGGATCAAATATATGGTAGCTGAAGGTAACTGGATTCTGGGTGGCAAACACACAATAGAATATACATATGTCAAATGATAATCTACACCTGAAAATTATATAATTGTATTAACCATTTATACCTCAATAAACTTTTCAGCTCTGCAAAGAACTGTCTGAACTGGTAAGCATCTGTAAGTCGGTTCAGTTCAAAGAGTTTCAGGTGTCCTTTCAGGTTCAGAAGTACTGGGAAGTCTGTTCATTTAATGAAGTGCTTCCCAACAAATATGCCAGTGCAAATCCAGGGGACTTTGTAAATTACAACAAATGTTTCTTGCTAGGGTTTTCCCTAGCTCAATAATGACCAACTCTAGTAAAATGAACCCTCAAGATTTTTGGGAATGTGGCTGTGGGATCATAGATCATAGCCATAAACTTTCACATGCCAGGCCTGATGATGGTTTAGGTAGAATGGAAACTATGGCTATGTCCCTCAGCTAGTTACCATGAGGGAAGAAGACTCCTTCAGTGCCAGTACAGACTCTGTCCCAGGAATCTCACCTCAGCTTCTTCACATTAAAATCATCAGTCGGAAGAACTTTCCTAAACTCAAAGGATTAAGTGCCAAAGGTGACGTGGTGGATCCTTATGTCTATGTGGAAATTCATGGAATCCCTGACGACTTTGCAGAACAAAGGACAAAAACCATAAACCAGAATGGAGATGCTCTCATTTTTTTATGAAAGCTTTGAATTTCAAATCAACCTACCAGAACTGCATGGCCATGGGGCCCTTTATAGTACTAGATGATGGCTACATTGGGCATGAATATGTTGGTCACTACACCATTCCCTTTGAATACAGACAGGCTACCATCTTGTCACCCTGCAGTCATTGACTGGAGAGGCCCTAGCACATGCCTCTTTGTCTATGTGGCTATTACTAACCAAAGAGGAGAAGGGAAACCTCATAGGAGGCCTTTCTGTGAGAAAAGGGAAGAAATCCAGAGAATATGCATCTTTGAGAACATTGTGGATTAAAACTATAGATGAGGTGTTCAAGAACACCTCATATGGAATGCCACAGATCTGAGAGAGAACATGTAGAATGCCGTTGTATCATTCAAGGAGCTCTGTGGCCTCTCCTCTGTGGCCAGTCTCATGCAGTGCATGTTGGTGATGTCCACCTCCACACCTATTAGGCTTTCCAGGGCCTGATAACACACCCCTGGTGGTCCTGAATCTTAGCGAGCAGTATCCCATGATGGAGTTGCAGGGAATTATGCCCGACGTTCTAAAGAAGACTGTAACAACTTATGACATGATGATCCAAATCTTCAAGGCCTTAGTTTAAAATGCAGATGCTATGCATGAAAAGACTATATTGTCAGAAGGCAGCCATGGGATTCCATGAACACTTGCACAGCACAGACACCAAGGAAGGTGTGAAGGGATGAACACTACAAAAAGCAGTGGAGAGAACTTTATCTGGAATATTATCATCTTAAAGGGACAAACAGATCTTCTGAAATATGCCAAGAATGAAGACTTTGGAAAACCTGAAACAAATCCATTATGCTACCGTTTCATGTGGACTAAATAAACCAGGCACAGAAAATGCCAACGTTCAGAAATCATGTCGGAGCCTGGAAGTCATACCTGAAAAAGCAAATGATGAAAAACTGGAGAATGAGGAAATTACTAAAAAACATTATGGAGTTTATAACTCTAAGACTAATTGTAGTCAAATGGAACATTTGCTTTGCACTCACTAATGAAAATAATATTTAGAATTTTAAAGCACAACTGCAACAGCCAATTACAGTCTATTAAAACTGTGAATGTATGTAGCAATCCGGCGTATGAAGGCAACTAAACTCTTTAAGAAAAAGTTATATTCCTGGCCAAAGTATGCTTTATTTGGATAAAAAGACATCATAACTCAGTTCCGGTGTGAACAACAGACCATTTTATTCACTCTAGTTCCACTGAGGAAAAAAATGCTTTCCTAACTGCAAACAAATGCTTAAGATGGAAATAGATCGTATTGGCAAATTAGTATTTACTGGAGAAAAATCTAGTCTACACATTTTATATATATGTGATTGCCAGAATCTCTGGGTTATAGATGATTTTGGTGGCATGCCTGCTGAGCCATAATTACTAAGGAGAAGGTAAGTGGACATTTTCCCTGAATTTCCAGGGACCTTGGAGAGCCATTAAGTATAAAGAGAACGTGCAATTGGACTGAAGTGCCTGGCTAAAGACACATGCAGTGTATATATATGATGTAAAAGCAACCAATCTGGAAGCAACAAATTGTAAATAGTTTTTCATTGTATAAAGTAGTGTTCACATTTCAAATGTTTTATGATATTTGTAAACATTTTTAAAAGCCAAGGGAAAAATTTTAGGCTTTTATTTTAGTCCTTTACGTATAAGGAAGCCTCACTAATAGGTAACTATTTCTACATCAGGTCAATTTGGGCGAATAAGTTATATAATCATTCTTTTAAAAAAAGTAGAAGGGACATTTTTCTCCTAAATTTCTACCAACTGGATTTAAAATTGAGGTTATAGATGTCTCATGATGTCAGCAGGTGTAATGTCTTCTTTTTGTTTAAATGACATTCAATTTAAGAGAGGTAGATGAAAACACTCACCAGCAACACTGAAGGAAATTTAGAGGGAGATGCAAAAAACAAGCCACACGTCTTTAAAAATTAATTGTATGCTATAGCTGTATGTTCACAGATATGAATTATACGAAAGTCATTTCATTTTTAAAAAAGTATATCTACTTGAGAAGAGAGGGAAGACAAGAGAAAAGGAGAAAAAGGCAGTCTTTCAACATTAAAAGGTCAAAAATCTGGGATTCTAATCTAGGCCAGCATTATAACGGCATCATAAAAAAGTAAACTGTGATTTTTTTAAATTTTGAGTTGCTTTATTAGGAAGAATTATCCTAATTCCTTTTCTACCCACAATATAAATATGTGGAAGGAGCTGAAAAAACAAGTATTTCAAGGATATGGTACCTTTTGTGAGAAAGTAGGTATGTAACCAAAAAAATATTCAATTTTTCAGGCTCATACTTTCTTAGGGGATGACTTTTACGTTTTGGGCTTGAATCTTCTCATTTGGGTTACTACAGATGAAACAAATATTTCATAGGCAAGTTCTCATTGTCCCTACAGTTGGGTGAAGCAGGAGAAGTAAGTTGGAGAAAAGAGTCACAGAGCAGTAGCATTGACCAAAATTGCTCAGAATCGACACTGCTGGAACACATGTTTCAGGTTCCTCACATGAATCATATTTTTAAAAACTGACTAGTACACTTATTTGTTTGAATTACATGTTTTAAAAATCATACTCACCACATGCAATTGACAGGTAAACTTGAGAATCTGGTGTCTGGTGTAGAATGCGAAATGGAGCTACTTTAGCAGTTGAGTCTAAGACTGAGTCAAGAGTCCCAACCAGAAGCCCTGTTGTAACAAAGAGATTGTTGAAAGAAGGATTTTATAAGAGATGATATTAATAGTACTTCATATGACAAAAAAACAATGGATTTACTTTTTAAAATTTCTAGCCCAAAGTTTCCTTATGGAGATTTTTCTTAAAGAAAAAATATATTCTGGATGAAAATATTACAGTGTTCTGATATGAGCAGTATTTGAGAAAATGATCTTTCAATAAAATAATAAGTCAGTTTTAATTGTCCAAATCTCACGATATAGTTGTAGCACTTACATACCTCCTATACAAGGTTGTGTACGTAGCAGATAAGAATGTAGATTCTGGTACCAGAGCCTACCTGGACTTGAATCCTGGCTCTGTCGCATATGTCAGCTTGAACCAGCTATACCTAACCTTTTCTTCAACCTCATTTGCAAAATAAGGGGGTTAAAATAAAACCTACTACAAAGTGTTGTTGTAAAAAAATGAATTAGTACATATAAAACACTTAGAACGATACTTGGCACATAGTAAAACAGTCAATGTTAGCTAATATTATTATACAGAAAAAAACCCCTTAGATATTGAAGCAAAACAAAACCATGATTAATTAAAATAATTAGGTAAAGGGATTTTCTTTTTAACAATTTGTAATTTGAAACTAAGGCTTTTGATCAATTAGTTTCAATTTAATGATCTGATTATATTTCCTAATTTTTCCTAGAACAAAGTTTACTGTTTTTTTAAACAATCAACTAATTTCTCCCTTAAGGTCTTTGCTAATTCTCTTTTCACCTAGAAATGCTAACACATATCTTCTAGCCCAGTCTAGCTAATCCAAATTCTACATTTTCTTCAAGACCCACTTCCTCAAGAAATCTTTACTGGCGACCCCAGGCAATAATGCCTTCCCTTTTCTCTGATTACTTGTAGGACTTAAAGTGTACATGACACAACCTATCATATAGATTATTAGGCTAATTATTATAACTATTTGCTAAGTACTTCAGGTATATTAATCTTGACTCCTTACATAGATTATAAATTCTCTGAGAATAACCACCCCATCTTCTACCACTGGGTCTGTATCCTTAACTTTCAACATACTGCTGAGTGTAACAGGAGCAAAATTCATTGATATCAACTCTATCAATGGGATGGCTGAGCTATATAAATCTACCTTCCTTTTCTGGGAACTTTAACTGGTTGACTGTTGGTTTTGCTTTATGAGGCATTTCTCTATAATTTAGCATTCAGATTTTTGAGGAAAAATTAAATCAATTATAAAGCAGGCTTTTGGCTATTTTCCTACCTTTATCCACTTAAAAGGAGTTAAGATTGCAAGTAAGCTTTGAACGAGAGTATAGGTAGGTTGGCAGATGTGAGGTAGGGAGTTATTATAAGCATAGAGGGAGGTAAATTAGAAGAGTAGGAGATAGAACAGAGATAAAGAGATATTTGGCTCAGCTAAAAGAACAGGGTGGGAGAGTGGATGTAGGAACTGGTAAAAGGTAAAAATAGGAGTCACAAAAGCAGCATAATATCAATTAGCTACCTGACAGAGGGTTTTGATAATGGGGGTAAAGTATATATTAAAAAAAAAAAAAGATTTTGGCAATAGCAACATGTATAGATTATAAAGAAGTTATCTGATATGAAAAGAGTTACTGTATGAATTAACTTTGTTTCAGAAATAGAAATAAGAAAATTCAGACGAATATTATGAAAGGGGAGGTACCAGGAAGAGAGAATGGGAATGAGGAAGCGAGACAAAGGAAGTGATTATATGAGAGGAGAGGCGAAGGGAATTACTGGAGGGTTTGGAGATAAAAGGAAAAAATATTCTATCACTTTCAAAGGAAAAATAATTCTTTCATTTTCAACGTGAAGAAGCCACTGCAAAGTTGGAGATTTGGCTAAGAGATCAAGGATTAAGAAAGAAAAGTAAGAGTTGGTCAAATATAAAGAAAGAAAAGTGGGGGCTAAACATACAGATAACCTCCTCAGAGTAATGTGACTGAAATTATTCAGGAAATGGAAAAAAGGAGAAAGTTGTCAGTTTGAAGAAAGTCAAAATACTCAAAGGAAAGATAAAAGAGTGGTAGTAAAAGACAACCAAAAGAGGTAACTTTCTTTAGGTTGAAAACGGAATCAACTGTATGGCTGTCTGTATACAAAAATATACATATAATAACCTGACAAAATTATCAAAATAAAGGAATTATAACTTCAAATAAAATCACTTATCAAACTCAGCACTGTTCTAGCTGCTAGATTTGCCCTCCTAGAATTCAAATTCTAAAAAATGTTTCCAAAATGTATTTTCAAATTTGCGAGAAAAATCATTTATTTCACCTTTACCACATTTTAAATTAAACTAGCTAAAATCCAATTTCCTTATTTATATATAGTAGAAAAAAAAGTAGTATTAGAAGAACAGGAGAAAGAACACAGAGGTAAAGAAAAGTTTGACTCTGAAATATACCAGTGGGAGTGTGGACATGTGAGGAGGGAGAGAGGAAAGGAGAGGCCACAGAGAATCATTCTTGAGTAACGTAAAAATTAGTTCTCTGATAGAAAGTTTTGAGACTGGGGACAAAGTGCTCAAATCACCAGCCGGAAGGGTCATTTCTTTTTGTAGCAGAAGTGTTTGCAAGTTAAGTGCCTCACACTATGTAGACAGGAAACTGTTCCGTTTTTTAAGTGTATTAAATCAGGCAATTAGTATAAAACTATGCAACAAATAATTTCGAAGCCAATTCTAAAATATATTTCTAGTCACTTGGAGAACTCTTCCAGCTCATTAAGCTATCTATAATCATCAAATCTCTACAAGTCGTTCAAGAATTAGTATGAACCCAATATCTGGGTTCTAAAAGTATAAGAAAACAAGCTGATAACCTTGGGTTGCTTTTCCATATACACAGGTTTATCACCTGACAGCCTGAGTATCCAAGTTCATGAATCAACCTACACATGGGAATTTCTATAGCTATAGTAAATTGGGAATAGAATAGACACTATCTCTCAGCTACATGACAAAACATGAGATTTTAAAGTATAAAGAAATATCAAGAAATTCAAATCATCCTTTGAATGTCTATAATTGAGTAAAGTACCAATGTTCTAGACCCTGGTAAAGGTCTAGGGTTTCCGTAGCATCCTGCCAATACAAGGTAACACCAAAACTCTTAAGGAAATTCACCACCATAATTGATATGAAATGCTTTTTATTAAATGGGATAGCAAGATAACAAAAAAGCAAGGTTCTATGATTAAAAAAAAATAGGCAATTTGAAGGTAATGATTATTGTTCTTGAACCAAAATTCTTTTTGGCTGGATAGAGATATAGCACCACTGACTTTAGAGATGAAAAATATCCTAGCAGGTCTTAGAGCCCAACCTCTAGCATATTCATCCACACTATAGTATAGTATCCCTGAAAGAAAGTCTAGCTTTGTCCTTTATAACTCCAAAGTTTACTTCTACCAAGGTGGCCTATTGCATTGGTGGACATTTCTATTAATTAGAAAGTTCTTTCTAAAATATGAAAAGATTTTTATATATATCCAAATGTTATAGTCAGGGCTGGCTTTATGGGCTTGTGACCTCTTTATAGGGTCTCATGCTCAGAACAGCCCTGTACTTGATTAAATGCTCTGCTGTCATGGTCTTGAAATTCTTAATTTTTAAACAAAGAGCTCGCTTGTTAATTTTGCACTGGAACCCACAAATAAGGTAAACAATTCTGGTTACAGTGGTTATCTCTGGGCAATGGAATAATAGGTAATCATAATTTTCTTTTTTATACTTACACATATTTTCTGAAATTTTTACAATAAATACTTTTTAACCTTTAAGATAGAAAAATAAAGCTATTTCTTACCCACTCAAAAAAAAAGGTTTTTCTTAGAATAAATAAAATGCTATGTCTTTGCAATTTGTAGGCCATACAAAACATAATATACTCTATTCAACATGATAGATCTTCAAATATTATTATAGCTATCTTGTTTCCCCTTGCTTATTCTTCTCTTAGCTTAAAATATGCCTAGTTCTTTCAAATGTTTGTTGAAATTGTCTGGGCCTCTTATTATTTCTTCTACCATTCATTCTCTTAACATATCTATTTGTCGAAGTCTCATAAAATACGTTATTCAAACTTGAATACCAGGTATGGTCTGAACAAGTGCAGGTTTTTTATATTGTGGCCCTCATGGTTCTATTAATGCAGTCTAAAATCATACTAGCTTTTTAAGCTACTACATATTATCATACTAAGCTTGTGGTCGACTAACCTACTTTGATCTTTTTAACAAATATAAGCACCAACCTCAGTATTCTGTCCTACACAGCTGATTTTTTAAAAAACCTAAAAGCAGTGTACATTTACCCATGTTAAATTTGATCTCATTGATTTCAACTGAGCATTCTAACTTGTCCAGACCTTTCTGAATCTTGATCTTATCTTCTACGATAGTGATTAGCAACCCAAACTGAAAATTTGAATCATTTGGAGTTTTTGCAACTACTCAAGCTCAAGTTTTCAAACTACTAAAGCCACGATTGTAATTTAATTCATCTGGAGTCAGGCCTGGGTATCCTATTTTTCCCTTAACTTTGTATTATAAAATTTTTCGAACATATAAAAGAATAGAATATATTGAAAATTCTATATGCCCATCACCTAACTTCAATAATTATCAACATTTTGTCAGTCTTCTGTCATTTACCCCTCCTAGAATACTTCAAAGTAAATTCCAGATATCATATCATTTTACCCATAAGTACTCTAGTATCATTTAGTTTGTTTTAGAAGGTTCTCAGTTGAATCTAATATGTAGCTAGTGTTCAGATAACTGATCTATGGTATTAATTGTCCCTTTCAATTTTCAGTCTCTTGCAAATTTGGTAAACATTTCTTTCTTTTTTTTTTTTTTTGTATTAGGTCAATGATAATGATATTCAAGCAGGACCAAGGCCTGAGTGTTGTTGGAGGAGATAATAGTACACTTTAGTTTGACAAGT